TCATGGACTAAGGGTTCCAGCACTGAACTGAAGAACCTGGGAGATGTTTTTTACCCCCCCGGCTTGCTGTTCCATTTTTCTTTCATTCATGTGAAAAAGACTCTTAGAAATAGTTCCAACATCTATTACCCTCTGTTCTGAGGAAGGGTCACCAGACCTGAAATGTTAACCCTGTTTTTTCCTTCACAGATGCTGCCAGACCTGCTGAGCTTTTCCAGCAACTTTGTTTTTGTTCTATTACAGCCAGAATACACCTCTTCATTAAGAGGTGAACAGGGTTTTAAGAAGTGAAGACTAGCTTTAATCTATGCTAGCCTTGCAAGAGTAGGGTCCCCTAATGAGTTTTCAGTCAGCCAAATATGTATTTAGTACTGCTGATCATGGGATGAGTAGACAGCACAAGTCCTGCATGGTGTCTGTACCACTTCAACCATCATGGAGTACACATCACAACCCTGCATTCACAAATGATCCATAACTAACTTTTAGCCTGAAGTTACCACTTAATTAGGAATCAAAAACAGTTTATATAATTACAGAACAGACAGTAATTAATCCAAGTAGGAATTCAGGAGAAATTTGTGTGGTTAGAGAATGGCAAGTTAAAGGAAGTTTGAAAGCAGCATACATACTAGCATAAAACTGTAGGAACAAATGATCTGTTTGTATACTCCAAAGTTTTATATAATCCATTTCCTCAAATATGATGAAGTAAAAGATTAGCTATGGTTTCACAGATAGTGGTGTATGCTCGAAACACTGAATGGCCTACTTCTGGCTCCTGTTATGGAAATGCATAATCTCCTTTTTATACAAAATCCACAGCACATATCAATCAGCAACAATGCTATGCAGTTGCATTTAATAGTGTTTTGACTCAGGTGGATGGGGTATAAAGGATAGAGTGTTACACTTTATAAAAATTAAAGCACATTCTTCTGAACATCGGTTTGACCTGGAACACCATATTCTGCCTTTTCTACATATTCTCCAGTGTCCATGTTCTGGATTTCTGTGAAGGCACAAGTTATTTTACTCTACCACACACTGAAGACTTGTGCTTTAGACACTAGGTGGTGCAATATCAGAGAGCAGTCTTATTACCCCTGGATTTCTGCAATCTTAGAATCCAGCTGAAACTGGGAAAACAAGGATCACGGTTCTGCCAGTTACAAGAATTGTTTTCGAAAGATTCAATCTAGCTTCAGATTGACTTTGGTACATTGCATAAAACTAAGACACAAATTGTCATTCTTGCTTAGGCAGATCTCAAACATTGATTTGAAAGTTTTAACACTGGCACATTCTGGCCCCAATTGCCCACAGAGCAATTCTGCCCATAATTCCTTTAATATCGTCCACTAGTCTCTGCTGTTCAGTTTCTTCTTGGAATAACACTTCCTGGCAAAACTCCACTTTGATTGCTCTAGATTTCAGCTATGAAAACAAACAAAAAATTGCACTCTGGTCAAGCCTTACAGAAAGGATGCAGCTTGTTTTTTTTGAGTGTATTTTTGCATTGTGTAACTTCCAGTTACAAATTACCCAAGTTACCCAATATATACAGCCTCAAAGAAAATGGTTACACATGCACAGAACTCTTCACTCTTGAAGTGAGGGACATTGTCGCTCACTGGATCAAGAATGCCATAATAACTACAACTAAAGAATGCTTTCAGGCATTTTACGATCGCGCTGGCAGTCAATGGTGTCAGAAGCTCTAACTCTCAATAGACAAATAGTGACAAGATAATTAGATTCCATGAGTCGAAGTGGTCTACTCTAAGCTTGATCTATACTCCATCTGAAATGTCATGTGCCAGAAGCAGCACCTTAGCTTGTTTAGCTGGGTATTTGTTACAAGTACTGCACTGGCTGATATAATCCTTAATCTCATTGCTCTGTTCATTTCAGTCAGTTCCACGTTTGTCAGTCACCACACGTTCATTGCATGCACAGTCTCTAAATGCTGCAGGTCTCCTCATGGTACACATGCATCTTGTGTTTGGCGGTTCATCTAGAATCTACTCGTTCTTGGGTTATGTACCTTCATTGGAAAGTATCATTCTCATGGTGAGTGCTATCGGCATACTGACTGCTGTTATTGATCACTTCCTTTTCTGGGAAACAGTGGATCTCTGGGACTGATGGTCATTTTGTACTCCACGCTGGTACCGAGGTCACATCTTTATGATAAATTGCCAACACTGAAAGAGTTGTGTAGCTGTACAACATCTCTAATTGTACACAGAGATAGTAGGAACTGCAGATGCTGGAGAATCTGAGATAACAAGGTGTACAGCTGGATGAACACAGCAGGCCAAGCAGCATCAGAGGAGCAGGAAGGCTGACATTTTGGGCCTAGACCCTTCTTCAGAAATTTTCTGAAGAAGGGTCTAGGCCCGAAATGTCAGCCTTCCTGCTCCTCTGATGCTGCTTGGCCTGCTGTGTTCATCCAGCTCTACACTTTGTAATCTCCAATTGTACACCGATGTCTGTGATTGTGATGATAAATTTTTGCAGATTGCATTGAGTCTCACTGGAACACTGCAGCAGGCCCTAAGGCAGAAATATTGACCAGGGAACAAAGCTGAAAAAACAAACCTTCATCTTCTGCTTGGAGACATTATATCTTCCAGGACTCAATATTGGGTTTAACAGTTTTAGAAGATTCCTTCCATGCCTACTAACGACACCCACAACCCCAAGCCCATTATGACATGGGTTGCTTTCAGCACAACCAACCCATTTTCACCCACTCTTAGCCCCAAAATCACATATCTAGATTCTTTTCTCCCCCAGCTTACGATCTCAATCTGTTTGCATGACATTTTCTCTTCGCTCTCTCTAGGTTCCATACAAATTTCACATCTCCTTTCATTTCCATAGCAGCAAGGAGTAGAAAATGCAGTCATTTTGACTCACCTAGCAATTCAAAGTTGCAGATTGTGGTTTGTTTTTATTCTTCATTGTTTTTTCTTCAGTAGATGGTTTTCTTACAGCTCTGAAAATCCATTCGTTTTCAGCTGCACGACCCTGACACATTTTTGGCGGTAAGTTTTATAGAAAATCTATGGCAGTCAGTGAGGCACTTACAGCAGAGATACAGTTCCATGGCCACTTTTATTGTTACCAGTGCTGCTTTCCTTCTTTGATAATAGCTCTTATTACCAGATTTTAGAAAAATGCAATTAGAAACTTAAAATCTCATTCTTTGGATTATTAGGTCAAACCTTTGGATTACTAATCTAGTAACAGAACTACTATACTGTGGGTTAGCTCAGTTAGCTAGATAAAAAGCTTATGGTTCAGAATAAAACCAAATCATCAGTTCAATTCCCTTTCCTGTTGTAATAGACTGGGGAGTTATCCCTTCAGTAGCCCCTGAGTGTGGTAGGTAATGCAAACTGCCAATGAGAAAAAAAATCAGCCAAGAAAACAGTTTAAGATTAAGCATCATCAATAAGCCAAGGGTCTGCCTTTTAGCATAAAAGAAAGAATCTAATGGTACATAAGTGGTATATTAACTCCATAAGACACTCTGAACAAGTCAAATACAACATTTGTAAATTATCTTGTATTGATCAAGGCAATTATTTTTAGAAGCAATTACCTGAAGTCTGTAAGAAGGGAATCACTTGAATCAGCATTTAATTTGGAATCCCTCATCTTTTTCCTGTTAGAGAAGGCATTCAAGGAGCTTAAATTTGCCACTCCTCTACCAAATGCACCACTATCTATCTGCAATACAGAAACAGGGAGAACTAGATTAAATACACAGACCTCAAGTTTTTTGTATCTGGTCAAATTTACAACATTTAAAGTTACAAATTGTGTACAGGTATTGCAAATGGAAGCTTCATCTCCAAACTGTCAACATTCTAAGCTTGCTTCATCCATCTGGTTTTGCTCTCCTATCCCAAACTCAAAATTTGCAAACTGAAAAATACATTCCTTCAGTAATATTCCCTGACTATTTACTGCTGCAGCATGCTAAAAATTGATTTATTTGCTGTGATTCATCAAATATCCTCAAATTTAAATTTTAAAATCCTAATATGTGAATCATTTCATGATCAATTAATAAATGATTATTTCTTTAATTTTAAAATAATTATGAATAAGCACTAATATACTGCAGGTGTTTGATTTGAAAAGATTTCATGCTCTTTCATCTGTTACAACTGATGGAGACCATCTAGGAACAAAAACAATGAGATGGCAAGAATGACATAGTGAATGAGATCTTGGAAATTGGATTATATAGTCCAATTGTCCTCATGCATCAAAGGAGTGACACAGAAATCTTTACAATTCTAAGTTTACTGAAAACATATCTGAATTGGAACCAGCAAATGGCAAAGCAAAATAATGGGGGGATGAGGGGGTAATGAACATGTACTGTACATACTCGAGTAATGTTCGATCTTGTGTAAAACGATCCTTGGCATTTGGCACTTCATATTTACAATCCCTGAAGTCATTCAGAGGGGCAAACCTACTCATTTGATAGAATCATACAAAGATGTGTTACCTAACATTTTAATTTATAATATCATTGACTGGGCAAATATTTACATGTACGATTTCACAAAGAACATTTTGTTACTTACAAAGTAAGTTTGCAGATGACACTAAAATCAGTGGTATAGTAGACAGTGAAGAAGGTTATCTAAGATTACAAAGAGATCTTGATCAGTTGGGTCAATGGACTGAGGAGTGGCAGATGAAGTTTAAATTGGATAAATATGAGGTGTTGCATTTTAGTAAAACAAGCAAGGGCAAGACTTTACAATTAACGGTAGGGCTCTGGGTAGTGTTATAGAACAGACAGACCTAAGGGTTCAGGTACATAATTCTTTGAATTTTGCATTACAGGTAGACAGGGTGGTTAAGAAGGTATTTAACACACTTGCCTTCGTTGCTCAGACCTTTGAGTATAGGAGTTGGGATGTCATGTTGAGGTTGTCTAGGACATAGGTGAGGCTTCTTCTTGAATACTGTGTACAGTTTTGGTTGCCCTGTTATGGGGAGGATATTATTAAAATAGAGAGAGTTCAGAAACATGTACCAGCATGTTGCCGGGAATGAAGAGTTTGAGTTATAAAAATAGGCTGGGACCTTTATCACTGGAGCGTAGGAGGTTGACAGGTGACCTTATTGAGGTTTATAAAATCATAAGGGGTATAGGTAAGGTGGATAGAAAAGGTGCTTCCCTGAGGTGGGGGGGGTTCAAAACTAAGGGACATATTTTTAAGGTGAAAGGAGAAAGAATTAAAAACGACAGGAGGGGCAACTTTTTTTTACGCACAGAGTGGTCAGTGTGTGGAATGAACTTCCAGAGGAAACATTTAAAAGACATTTTGATAAATACAAGAACAAGAAAGGTTTGGAGGGATATGGGCCAAACGCAGGCAGGTGGGACTGGTTTCGTTTGAGAACATGGTCGGCTTGGACTAGTTCGACCGAAGGGTATGTTTCCATGCTTTAAGACTCTATGAATCTATAAAGCAGAGGTGACTGGCTGCAGTAGGGGCGGATGTTACATTTGCAATGAATACATGTTCAATGGGAATCAGAGGTGACAATTGACAATGGTTTCTGGTCAGTATTGGACTTTTAATTCCAGATATTTGTGAAATTCAAATTCCAGTATTGCCATGGCAGGACTCAAACCTGGGTCCCCAGAAATTACCTAGCTCTCTGGATTAATAGTCTAGTGTAATACTATGAGGTCATCAACATGTGTCCATAAGAGGTTGGAAAAATGGAGGATGGCATCACAATTCACCATTAGGGACCTGGAGGTTGTGGTGGAAGAGATGGAGCAGAAAAGGGCCATTGTCTGGACGGCACAATGGCTCGGTGATTAGCACTTTTGCCTCACAGCACCAGGGACCCAGGCAACAGTCTGTGTGGTGTTTGCACATGTCTGCATGGGTTTCTTCTGTATGCTCCGGTTTCCCCCACAGTCCAAAGATGGGCAGGTTAGGTAGACTGCCACGTTAAATTATCATAGCATCGACGGATGTGCAGGCTGGGTGCATTAGCCATAGGAAATGCAGGGTTACCGGGATAGAGTAGGCGGGGTGGGTCTGGGTGGGATGGTCTTTGGAGGGTTAATGTGGACTTGATAGGCTAACAGCCTGCTTCCACACTGTAGGGATTTTATGATTCTGTCCTCTTCCTGAAGGACAGAGAGAGGAGTTCATGCCACCAGACCTGGCCAGCGTGGTCTGAGGATGCCAAAGGTCAGTGCCATATCCAGGCTGCAGGCAAACAGCCACTTGTGCTGCAAAATGGTCAACACACTTCTCTACTCTGCCATGCTGAGTTTCAAAATCTCTCTGCCACCTCAAAGAACAAAGAAAATTACAGCACAGGGACAGGCCCTTCGGCCCTCCAAGCCTGCGCTGATCCAGATCATCTATCTAAACCTGTTCACATTCACATTCACTCTTCTCTGCCACTACACACAAGTCCCACCAGGTCTTATGCCACACACATTCAGTTTTATTCAAAACATCTTCTCTTACTCAATCTCACCCACAGCCTCCCACACCTCTAACCATAGATGCCCTTTGCGCTGTACCCTCAGTGCTTCACAACATCTGACTGCCTTCCTCCACATGGAGCATCACTAGAAGCTTTGCAACTCACCAATTTCACTCAGTTGTGGTCTTACCAACGCCCTGCACAGCTGCAGCAAGACATTCCTGCTCCTGTACTCGAATTTCTCACTACGAAGGCCAACATACCATTTGTCTTCTTCACCCACCTGCATATTTATGTACAGCTGGTGAATGTAAATTGGTGAACAAGGACGCCCAGGTTTCATTCCATCTCCCCCTTTCCCAGTCTATCGCCATTCAGATAATTTGCCTGCCTGGTCTGCAGAACCATGGGCATAGCAACATGGGGACAGGAATGTTGAACCTAGTCCAGGAGAGCCCTACTCACAAGGAGGCTGGGTGTGCTAGGACACACGCAGCCAATGCAGGAATCATACACAGATGCCTCAGCTTTTTCCACTGTGGACACTGCAGATGTGGCTGGGCCTTCGACCTCCAGCCTGCCGGGCCGCCTCTGAATGCTGAGGGTTAAGGATAAACTTTCTTTTAGCAAGATGACCCACGGCATGTCTGCTCCATTTGGACACACGTGTTGCTGGGGTTGCCTCACCAAAGCTCCAGGGACAACAGCCTCAACATTATAGTGGGCTTCCTCCAACACAGCTGCAGAGCCAGGAAATGCACTTAGACATTACGGGAGGGAGAGTGTGAAGAAAATATCTTTAGTGCCACTGGTGAGAGAGGCTATTTTGTTTTTCACATTTTATACAGAAACGTTGTTGACTGTAACATTCATGTATCTGATGTTGAGACTCTCTTTGTAGGCACTCAACATATTGTCACAAATCCGCAGCAGTTTATGGTCAAATAAGAGATTTAATGGATAAAGTTTTGTGAACAGAACTGCCAATATCACGTCAATTAAGGGGAACTATGTGTAACATTGCTGTATGCACTCTTGACACCGTTGGCCCTCCTGAGCTGTGGAAATTCAGGAAGCCCAATTGGAAAGGAACATTATTTGTTGCTGAACACCGAAATAGACCTTCTATTCATGGCATACACAGGCTAGTCCCTGTCCAGGACAGACTGTTCTGCAGATCCATCCCTCAGTCTACTTTCTTTTCTTTTATATGCGAAAGTGCTATCACACAAAACCAAACGGTTTTTCTTCCGATAAATCTCTGTGCCTTCATGTGACCAATTGGATACTTACATGCAAAGCTTGTTAAGGGCAATGCAAACCATCAAAAGTAAGGGAGGGGTAGGGAGAGTGGGAGGAGGCTAAATCAAAATGAAGTTGGAGGGAGCAATAAAGCACTGCATCCCCTACAGTGCCCACCTCTCTCTAAAGGCACCTGTGTAGCCAATTAGATATTTACTTGCAAAGTGCTTTCTGGGACTGCTTTCTTTTCTATACCCAGAAGTGCCAACACACACAACTGAGCGACTTTTTCATCAACAAAATCACTGCAAATTTTTTTTTCCGTGTTTTCTTAAACACCAACTGCCACAAGCAAAACATCGACGTAGCCGATTAGAAATTTACATACAAAGCTCATTCCAGTGCTGTTTTCTGGGTTTTTCCCAACAATCAACAATGGATTAATGGTCATCATTAGACCCATAATTCCAGATTTTTATTGAATTCAAATTGCCACGACAGGATTCAAATGCAGGTCCCCAGAACATTCTCTGGGTCCCTGGGCCAAAAGTCTAGCAATAATAGCACTCGGCCATCACCTCCCTAGCTGGGTCTGCTTTATCCAGAGTGCTATCACACACAACCGAGCAACTTACCAACCACCAAAATCTTTTCTTCTCATAACCTTTAATTTTTCTTTTTTCCCCTTTTTAACTACCACCAGTAATCCCATGTAGCCAGTCAAGTATTTACAAGCACAGCCCATCATGGCCAATGCAAACCATCAAAAGTGAGGTGGGGGGAAAACCTGGGTTTTATTTAATCTATTCTTCTCATCAAACTGTTCAGTTACTACACTCCCCTGGAGCAAGTGTAACTTGAACCTGGGCCTCCTGGTCCAGGGGTAGGGTAGGGAGATGATCTAGTGGTATTATCTCTAGAGTATTAATCCACAGACGCAGGTAATATTCTGGGGACCCAGGTTCATATCCTGCCATGGCAGATAATGGAATTTGAATTCAATA